GCCAGATGGAACAGGAATGAAGATTACAAAAAGTGAAACAGAATCCTTCAGGATTTACATTTGGTTGTTATTGCCAAGAGGCTTATCTCTCTATCCTGACTCAAGTAAACCTCCCAGTGATATCATTTAGACTTTAGCCTGAGTAAGGAGTTAAGCCTTGAACACTAAATAGTTATGAAAATAAACCAGTTTCCTGTTCCCATTAGAATGATTTTCACTTTTTAAAACTTTATTTTGGACAGAGACAGCTGCTGCCACAAAATGAAATTTATCTTGTAGACAGATATTGAGGGAATTTTCACAACAGGTTGGCTAGTTACTCCATAAAGGCCCCAGTAAGCAGCTTGCTTTGCAATGAATGACATAGTGTCTTATTTACTTCTATTTATGTCATTATCAGACACAGACGAGTATTCATTTTTAGTGTTTATCAAATAGAAAAACTGAGTAATACAAAACTGGCCATAGCAAAAACTTGCATAACTTTCATAGAAATTTCATGCATAAAGCATTGTTATAGGATTCACAAAAAGTAATAGGGAAATATATGGAAAATAACTGGTTGAAAAATACCTTCCCAGGGGGATGCCTTTAGTAGCAATTTTTAGTTCCACGTGTTATCTTTTTTTTACCTTTCAAAGATGGCTGTATACATTAAAAAAATTTTGAAAACCTTAGAACAAGTTATTCAATACAGGTGTAAATGGATGAAATATAATTGCCTGTGATGTATACAAGGTCAGACTAGAAGATCTAATGGGCCTTTCTGACTTCAGTCTCTTTAAACCTATGATTGTATATCCCATGATGTTACACAAAAGGATCCTTGATAACCCTTTGAATTTGTACTATTTAATTCAGGAATATGACTGCTGAGTTAGGTGGTGCAAAACATCTGATTCCTTTCTGAAAGATTTCAAGTACAGTGATTCTTAATTAAAGATGCAACGTGGTGTCACGAGTTTACATTGCAGCTTTATATTTATGGCTGCCATTAGAAGATTTCTGGATCCAAAGATGGTCACAGACCTCATGGGTATATCAGACTCTCTTATAGGTTCACCAGAAGGATCAAACAAATCCCATACACAATCAAAGCAATTAGGGGTTATGGAGGGGTGAGGCTGCATGGTCAGTTAGAGATAAGCCATGTGAAATGGAATGGTTTCCTGGCTGCAAACACTAAGGCTTGGGACAGACATTACACATAAACTGGTTTAAGTGATCTGAAACTGGTTTAAACCTGTAACAGAACAGATGTTCTGTGCACATAAACCAGTTTGAAATTGGCTGAAAGTGGTTTGAGATAAACCTGGTTGACTTAACAGATTTGGGTCAGACCGGTTTATGCAATGTCTGTTCCATACCCCTTGCTGGTTTAAGTTTAGAGTCCCCCAACATCCTGGCATGCTCTCTGAGCTGGGCAGAACTCTGTGCTCCATAGCAGGGCTAGCCCCTCCCTTCTGCTCCCTGGCCAGAGCTCCAGCAGAGACTTGCAGGCACAGCAGGGTATGCTGGCTTCCCTGTGCCCCACTCTCCCCACCCCCTCACCATTGGCTGCTTAAGCACAGATTTCTTCCTCCTCTCTGCCACAGCATGGAACATAGTCAGCATATGGTATGCTAGCTAATGCTGTGTAAGGCTCCACCAGAGACTGCAGACACAGCAGGGTATGCCTGGCTTCCTCCTGCCTTCCCTCCACACCTACTGCTCAAGCAGGAAATCCCCCCGCCCCTTCCCTCCCTCCCTCCCATCTCTCACAGCAGGGACCCCAGCCCCACAGACCCGAGGCATGTGGTATGCTGGCCCAGCATTTCCCAACTGGTGTGCCATCAGACATTACCAGGTGTGCCATGGGATCTTGGGCGGAAGTGGCTCCTGGCGGGGCGGGGCTCCAGCTGGTGCCACCACCACTGCCCCGCACTGCCACTGCCACCCCATGTCACCACTGCTCCATGTTCAGCCACGTGGCACAACCCCCTCCCACTCTGCGTTTGGCCAGTGTGCTGTGGGATGGGAGAGGCCACGTGGGATAAAAAAGGTTGGGAAGTGCTGTGCTAGCTAATGCTGAGAGGTGTCTGTGTGTGTCTCTCTCTCCAATTTCACTGGGGCAGTTACACAGAACAGTGACTGCTTAGGGCTGTTTGGAGCTAATCAACAGGTCAGCCAGTAAGCTGTTTAAGAAGTTTGAAGTAATGGAGGGAGGCCAATGTTTTACTAAATCAGGTAATAAAGACTTATCACTATCATGCCTCAGCTGACTTGCTTGCTTGTCAGTTTGCTGCAGACAGTATGATGAAGCAAGGAGGGAGATTGAAAAGCTCCGTGACATCAACAGACACATGCACTGCACCTCCCACACTTGCCTCAGAGTGCTAGCCCATGGCTGGGGGTTGGCAACACTCCTACCCCTTGAGCAGCCAGCAGGAAAAAGCCCACTGGGACCATGAAGGCAGACCTCCCTAATAAGAGTCCTGCTGGGGCCTGGCCACACCCCTGTCAGCTCAGCTCCCTGCAGAAGGGAAGGGAGAGCTGCTCTAGCACCCACTGGCTTCTAAGCTGAGCCAGAGCAGGCGTGTGCCTGAATTTCCTCAGTCCAGAGAGAATGTTTGTCTGGTTTCAAACCAGTTCAGCCTAGTCAGGTTAAATTAACCTGTAAAGATTGAATCAATTCAGGCTCAGTCTTTTTGAATATCTGTCCCTAGCCCAAGGCTAGGAACAGGTGTTGCATTTGTCGCTGGACAAGTTGTGCTTGCCATGCACTGCCACTTTTCTGCCATTGATTCAATCTTGGGATAACTGTTCAGATGCACTTTATGGTGTGCCAGGATAAACTGTTAGTACTTCTTGTCCTGTGAATCTTTTTAGGGTTTATCCTGGGGAAATGGACATGGATGTCTTAACAGTCACACTTTTTTCCAGGATAAAATGATTTATCCTATAATAAATGTGACATCTGTTTGTAGCCTAAGTATGTCCACATGGCACAATCAAGTGCCAGAGAGAAATACCTTCTAAACCTACTCAGTAGTGTAACCTACTGAGAGTTAATGTGGCCATGTAAGCTAGCTTGGTATCTCTGTATAGCACTGAATTGTCCCATCTAGATTTGCCTGTCAGGGCTAGGCTATTGGTTGCAGGTCTTATATACTGGAAGTGAATACCCAGAATGATTTTTGCATGTAATCTTGGGAGGAAACAGAGGGACAAGACTTCGCAGGAACAGAAGTCTCTGCTATCAAGGCAGATTTGGGAATTTCTAAGCAAGGAAACTGCTTGCTGCTGTTTGTTTCTGCTACATACTGGGAAAACTCACTAAGCACATCTACACATGTCACTATTGTTGTTACTATGCCATATGCATGCCACACGGTTATTTTTAGGAGCTACTTTGTGGTAGTGGCACACTATACTGGGGGAGTGCATTGCTACAGCAAACTATTTTCTGGTGCATGTGTAGATGACCGTGGACACTATGTCGCTGTAGCACATTGCTATGGTGACAGTGTCATGTGTAGATGTGCCTTTTGTCTAAATACACAAGATCATGCCAACCATATTTCTAACTTGCATCACCAATTCTTTTTGCTAACAGAAACAGCCTTGCAAAGCCCCAAATATGGACTAAACTCCAGGCATGGGCCAACACTATTCTAACTGCTTCTGTGCCTGCTTTTTAAAAAGCAGTTTCTGTCCTTTATATGTTACAATCTAAGAAAGTTACTGAACACTTCATGTATAATTTATCATCCACTAAGCTGCTATTACATGCCAAAGGCAAAGACGTCTAAGATCAAGCTGCTGCTGCTGCTGCTTTCCCCCTGCCCTCCAATTTACTGCAAAGAAGCTCATGCTGCGATTCTTATTATAGCTGGGTCTGTCATAGACTGACCGTTGATTTAAAACTGGAGATAAACTAGGTCACAAATATAGTACTGATACCTCCAAAATCCTTAAAGAGACTGGGTTTTCCCACAGGCAACACTTGCCATGTTTAGCACAAACTGGCATGGGCTGCAATTCCAGTAGAAGTGCTACTATGTCTACATATTATATGTTGCAGCAACAACTGTTTCAGAAACAAGGGTAAACATAGGAGCCATGGTGGTTCCCAGAGCAAATAATAAAGAAAGCAAAAACACTATTCCAAAGATATGCTCACCACAGGTGAGGCAGCAGTATCCAAAGTCTTTTCACAATTTGTTGGCCTATTTTATTAGTTGAAATTAAACACCCAGTCCACAAGTAGCCCTTGAAAGTTCTCATTAATCTCTCTGATAATTACACAGAGCAAGGGATTTAAAGTTACGAGTAGACTGTATGATGCCTTTAAGGCATTGGCTTAGAAACTGTGAACAATATTTAAACCTGCCGCAACTCTGAGAAAGACAGGAAATACAAGATTCATCTGGTTCAGTGTGCTCTTGATGCCTGCCTTTACTTGCATATCTCTTCACACTTTATAACACCCTTCAAAGAATCTGGTGGCACCCTGGTTGAGAATCACTGATTTAGGAAAAACTCCCACTCAGGTCAATTGGAGTTTTTCCCTATGGTTAACATTTTAACCATATGTGACACATTTTTAAACACAGGTGACACATTTTTAAACACAACTGCCTTTTTTCCCCTGCAAAGGAAAACATGCTAGTTACCACATTTCAGTCAAGATCTCCTATAACTCAGTACTTTTTGCTCAACAGAGACTGAGTAAAGAGTTCAGAATTTAGCTCTCATGACCAATACATTTTAAACCTCTATTTTTAAAACAGGGTAAAACTGCCCACTTGGATACTATATTCATTTTTAAATTAAAATGTCCTTTTACCTAACATAAAAATATAGTTTCTAGCCCTTCTCTTCCACATTTTCCTTGGACCAGAAAACAGTCATGCTAATACACATCATTGCAGTACTGGAGTTGAAAGCATCATATGATCTATCATGCATTTTTAGCAAATATACTGATATTACACAGGTTAAAAAAACAACTCACTTACCCCACACTGCCATGAAAACAGCAAAAAAGACAGTAGCTCCATTATCAAAAAGGTGAGTCACCTGTGGATGACACCAATAACCTGAAGTTACTGAAGGTCTTATTCACAATTATACTGTTTGTAAAATGGTAGCAATAAAAATGTGTGGCATTCATAAGCGCTGATAGTCAGAAGGACTGATATCCTCTCCCAGAGGTGTAACAAATAAGCCAGGCACCCAAGGCACTGGGACACATGGGGAGAGTGGCAATTCCTAGCTGCCATTGTGTGCTGTTAGCACGATTGTGTGGCTGTGGCTGATGTTTTTCCACCCCTTTCTCCCAAGTTGAAGACCACAGTGGTCACCTCATTTGCCCCATCCTAGTTATGCTACTGTTGCTTTCTGTAGCTTCATCACCAGAGGTATGGGACATGGAGGTGGGAGGTGTCAAGCATCATTTAAGATTATACCTCCAGTCAACTGACCCACTATCGGTGCTGATCTGAACTGAGCATGTCTATGGGGAAGATGGAAGTTCTCTCTCGCAGAATAGAGCAACCTATTTTGTGAGGCTGACATTAAAAGCTGCTTCATAAGATAAATTCTGAGGCAGAGTATTGCAGCAAATGCTAAGACATCATAATTGGTAACTGCTGATTACAATAAGTCCAATTGCACAGATATGTAAATAAGTTATATGGTCCAAATTCAATCCTACTAAGAGAGTATTGATGTCAGTATGGGTTTAATTTGATCTGCCATTTAGAAGATTTTACTTTACCATGCTTATTAAAGATATTCACAGAAGACTTCAGAAATGCTATTACTGAGAAAGCATAAACATTTCCTATTTGCATAGCTTATACGTACCTTGGCATAAACACAGCTGTCTGACAATCTCATGAAGGGACAGTATTTATCACATATAGGACACATTATGATATCTGTAGCTTGGCAGACTTCTTTACTGGAAAAATGGAAAAAGATAAGGATTAACAGGCTCATACCCAAATATCCGTCTTCAAATGGACCAGTATATTTTGCTAATAAATCACAACTGGTTGTTTACATGTCTCTTATCACATGATTTATCATTCTCAAGATGTCCTGCTGTCAACAGTCCTCTGAGGAAGGTATCTTTTATGACTGTACCTTGTATGGCTCCTTGGTCCTCAAAGCAGTAATTTCTTTCACATGAAACAACATTCATTTTGGAAAAGAGATATTGAATGTCTTTTTTGTTTGTGAGCAAATTAAAAACAAAAACCTAGACAACTAAAACCTCCCACCCCATATTACTACAAAATGGGCATGTGCCTAAATGTAATGTGCATTAAGGCAATTTAGGCTTGCGTCTACAAGTGCATGCGTTAAAGCATGTTAACGCTGTGCATGTGGACTGATGTGGGACTAGAGTTAGTCCCACATTGGTTCACACACAATATTAATGTGCCTTAAAGCATCTACATGTGTGTTAATGTGCTTTAGCTATTTGCACCTAAATCTCATACCTGCTTTTGCAGGTATAGATGCGCTCAATAGGATTCAGAGCACAATCCTGCAATGGCAGACTGGGGAGACAAGATGAGTTAGCAGCTCTTCCCTACTATTTCTTTCGGAGCCAATAAAAGTTATCAGTAGGAGGCAAGAACAAAACAAGTACAGGTTATGGGGAGTTTGGAGAGTTCCTTTTTCAGACATAGCGTCATGAAGAATCCTAACAGAAGCTCTAGGTGGCACACACTCTGTAAAAGGTCTCCTGCCCTGTAGCTCAGAGAAGCCCAGGTGCTGAGCTGCTCTTGGAGAGAAAATATCTTTCCCCTCTGTCAGCTGCTTAGGAAGTGTGGAGGAACCAATGCTGCACCCTCTCCCCACCACATTTAGGGGGTAGCACTGGGAGAAACTCTAGCTCTCCACAGTCCACGAATTAGAGGACTGTGTTATATCAGCTCATGTGCAGGAGTGCGAAACCAGAGAAGGTCATTACATGCTACTTATTACCTACTAACATCTACACACAGTTTTCCCTGAGAATTGTTTGGTTTTTTTTTTAAGAAGCAGTAGGATAAGCTGAATTTTGCAAGAAGAAATGAAACAGTTAACAGGTCAGGACTCATGGGAGGCACCAACGCTATTCACAACTCTACAGTTGCATTAATTGGGTTAATTTTACCAAGAAACATGCTTACTTTACCTGACTTGGCAGTGGCTCAAGGTTGTGACTCCATACAAAAAGACAAATAATCCAATGAAGGCAGCTGGGAAGAGCATTCCTGTGTACCAGCCTAACCAGGCAAAGTACAAACCAATTTTCTCACCAAAATACCGTCTGTTTAAAACACAACAGAGCAAAGTTACCAGCTAGTTTATGTATATTTTTCTGAGCACTGCTTGCTAACAGAAAATGAAGATTTTAGTTATATCTTAAGGGAGAATTTAGAGCTAGGGACATTATTTTTTTAAGACCCAGCTCAAATTTAGGCTTATTTTCAATACTAATGCATATCTAAATAGTCCCAGAAAATGTCTACATGAGATGTTTACCACACAGTAGACTAACTAGGTGTGCAGTAAACATTTTGGCGTCTACACATGCATCCCTGGTAGGCTGGAGTAAACTAATTTACTTTGCAGCAGGATAGTACTTGTATTTTAAAAACTCCTCTGCAGTACACGTGTAGATGCTGCCCTGGCTGGCTGGGGCATGAGGGTGCTTCAGCATGGGGACTGCCTGCTGGCTAGCTCCCACACTGAAGCACCCTCATGCCCCACCAGCCCCTCCATGGCATGTTGAGGGGGGAGCATCCCCAGGCTGGCAGGCTAACCTCCAGAGCCTCCTGCCAGTTGGGCCTGCTCCAACCCAGCTCAACATGATGCGATCCTGGGTGCACATGCAAATGGCAATAAACTCCGGAATTTATGGCCCCCAGGCACATGTTCAAATGATGCACCCAGGAGCAATAAACTCTGCAGTAGGAGTTTATTGCCAGTGCATTAATTGCACATGTAGATGCACCCCCCAGAGGATTTAATAGGAACTGCTACCTGCTGACCCTTAGTACTGTATGTCTAGGAAACAAAAGGCCACATTCTTCTCCCAAGTACATTCCCTTGTTACTACTGAAATCAAGGCAGTTACATCAGCACAGACTTGGTGTAACTGGACACTTCTCCCAGAATGTGCAATTAATGCACATGAATAAACTCCAGAGTATATTGCTGCAGAGTTTATTGGTGCACAGCACATTGAGCCCAGGTCAGAGCAGCCCTGGCTGGCAGCAGCCCAAGGCTGCTCTGACCAAGTTCAATGTGCTGCAGAGGGGGTGGCTGGGGCACAAGGGTGTTTCAGCGTGGGGCTAGCTGCTAGACAACCCCCACACTGAAGCACCCTCATGCCCCATCCAGCTAGGCGGAATTGACATGTGCGCTGCTGCGCATAAAAAACTGCAGCGCAGGCTCGTACTTGTATTTACAAGAATGAGCTTGCTCCAGATTTTATTAGGTTTGTCCACCCTAATAGGGTCGCATGGGTAGGTGCAGAGATGCTTACTGCAGAGCTAAGTAGGCAGCTTTGCAGTAAACATTTCATGTAGATATGCCCAGTGGCAAGTAAATAAGACCCAATCTGCTTCTGAGTAATTAATGAATCAATGGTTACTCTCCTACATTATTAGTTTTTATTTTTTACTTTTGAAGTGGTCTTACCAGAGTCTCTGGAAAATTTATCTTAGGATTCTAACAGGGACCAAAAGTGAAAAGCAGTCAGGACTCTAGTGAGCACTTTTCTGTTGCTAGTGATGCTGGATTGAGGAAAATTGAAGAAAAATTTGATTTTTCAACCAGTTTGTTTAAAAACAAATCCAAGTTACCCCCAGGAACCTCCAATATTTGAATAATTATTTTAAATAATAATTTAAACTAACCAATTAAACTTAAATAAAACAATAACATATAAAATAAATATTTTAAAATAATTTGGTATCAATCCACTAATATTTCTCCTCTTTACTTCCCTAGAACAATTCTTTGGAATATTGTTTTGCAGATTTACAAACACAATAAACATAGAAGCATCCTGGAATTATCCACCGCAGGAATCAGCTGAATGCACTATCATATGTTTGATGTTCTTTTGTAGCCACAACCTGATTGTTAGGTGAGGATGCGGTATATAAATCAATAAATAACTATAACAATGATAATAAGGAGCTTAAAGAGTGCTCTCATGATTCATTTTAAAGAATGAAGAAAACTGATAATCTCATCCTTGACTTCATAAACTTTACGGTCAATTCAAATCAAGCTGGATGTCAAGTCAGTTTGGCAAGATTAGCTGATGTAACATACACTTATGCAAATGTAGAAATTTCTGATCTATCCAAGGTCAGAGAAAGCAATACCAGTTGATTTCATGATTTGAAAACATTCTCAATCAACTGTTTACAGGGAAAAGAAGAAACCCTGCCCACAAAACCCCACCCCTATTTACTTCTAGGCTAGAGACAATGTAGGGGAGAAAGCAACACTTGGCTAAAAATGGACAAAATCATAATTTTTAAAGCGTATGTTGAAGACTTTCCAGACAGAGAAATATGTCTTTATTTTGACATTATGTTCTACATGTTTAGAGCAGTGGCAAGTAAATATTCTACACCCTTTAGTATCAGTTAGGTTTAGAGTCATCATTCCAAAGGCCAAATGTTGTCATATTTTCCTATAACAGGGGTTTTCTACCTTTTTAAATAAGTGCACCTCTGGCGGCACCCTTTTTAGTAAGTGTAACCCCAGGGAGGGGGTGGTTAGTGGCTGGACACCGAGGAGCGGAGAGGCGGGTGGCAAGTGACTGGATGCGGGGTGTGGTGGGCGAGCTGCCAGACATGGAGCTGGGGTGTGCCTGCACAGCCCTGCTCTCACCCCACCCTGGTCCTGCTCCTGTGAGGCAGCAGCATGGGGTGGCTGCACTCTGCCCCTGTCCACCTCCATGTACTACTTGGGATCTTTCAAAGTACCTCCAGGAGTACATGTACCCCCAGTTGATAACCCCTGCTCTATACGGTAACAGAGATCACAAGTGTTCTGGCAAAAGAAACAGAAAAGTAACAGCAATATGGTCAATAGCAACAAGAACAGCAGGTCTGGCTGCCCAATTTAGTAGCATATGTGCACCAATGGCACAAGAATTCATCCGACATTTTGGACAACAAATTGTCTGCTCCACCAAGAAACAAAAATCTGATTTTATGAGATGACTTCAGCAAGTGCTCGTCTTGGGTTGGTCACGATGCCTCCTGGTGGCTGCTCAGCCCTTCCCAACCTGGCTCCCCTTGGAGCCCTCTCCTTGTTACTTTCCTGCCTTGAGGTTTTTAATTTCAGATGAAAGGGAGGCTGCCCCTGGGCTTCCCAAGCCTGGTCTTACTCTTATAACCACAGGGGCTCATGGTTAGGTCTAGTTCATGGGCTCCATACTCCCTAATAACCACTCCCATGCCTCACAGATGATCTGTTAACATATGCCCTTCATGGGCTATGGGCTCCCAGCCCTAGTCCTCACCCCTCCTGGGCTTCAGACTCCTTTGGCCCCACACTGCCCTTGGACAGGCCCCAGGCACAAGATCTTCTCATGATGCACTCTAGTTCCTCCCAGGCACTGGATCTTCTCCCCAAGTCCTTCCTGGGCTCAAATTCTCTCTCTCTCTCGCTTTCTCTCTCTCTGTGGGCCTCAGGCCTATATCGTCCAAGGCCTGCTCCAGCCCCCACACTCTGCCCCTCAATGGACTCAGGTTCTCTCCCTCTGGGCCAAGGCCTTCTATTGTTCTGGCCCCTCTCTCTCTTTTGTTGGGCCAGTTGGGACCTCCAGGCTCTCCTTCAGTCCCTTCCACAACCACCAATCATCACCAGCCCTCTTAGGCCACTGCCTCTATCCCAGGGGTGGGCAAAGGACAGGGGTCCAAGGACAGGTTCTGTCCTTGGACCCATACTGTTCAACATCTTCATTAATGATGTGGACACTGGAGTCAGAAACGGACTGGCCAAGTTCGCCGATGACACCAAACTTTGGGGCAAAGCATCCACACCAGAAGACAGGCGGGTGATCCAGGCTGACCTGGACAGGCTCAGCAAGTGGGCGGACGAGAATCTGATGGTGTTCAACGCCGATAAATGCAAGGTTCTCCACCTTGGGAAAAAAACCCTGCAGCATCCTTATAGGCTTGGCAGTGCTATGTTGGCTAGCACTATGGAAGAAAGAGACTTAGGGGTCATCATTGACCACCAGATGAACATGAGCCTGCAATGCGATGCGGCGGCTAGTAAAGCGACCAAAATGCTGGCTTGCATCCATAGATGCTTCTCAAGCAAATCCCGGGACGTCATTCTCCCCCTGTACTCGGCCTTAGTGAGGCCGCAGCTGGAGTACTGTGTCCAGTTTTGGGCTCCACAATTCAAAAAGGATGTGGAGAAGCTTGAGAGAGTCCAGAGAAGAGCCACGCGCATGATCAGAGGTCAGGGAAGCAGACCCTACGATGACAGGCTGAGAGCCCTGGGGCTCTTTAGCCTGAAAAAGCGCAGGCTCAGGGGTGATCTGATGGCCACCTACAAGTTTATCAGGGGTGACCACCAGTATCTGGGGGAACGTTTGTTCACCAGAGCGCCCCAAGGGATGACAAGGTCGAATGGTCACAAACTACTTCAAGATCGTTTCAGGCTGGACATAAGGAAGAATTTCTTTACTGTCCGAGCCCCCAAGGTCTGGAACAGCCTGCCACTGGAGGTGGTTCAAGCGCCTTCATTGAACACCTTCAAGATGAAACTGGATGCTTATCTTGCTGGGATCCTATGACCCCAGCTGACTTCCTGCCCTTTGGGCAGGGGGCTGGACTCGATGATCTTCCGAGGTCCCTTCCAGCCCTAATGTCTACGAAATCTATGAAATGGTGGATTTAGCCGGCAACCAGAGTCCACTTCCCAGCAGCCCCTGCCTGCATCATTGCAACCAGCTTCCATGGAGACCCCAGTAAGTGGCAGCTCTGTGACAGCATGGGGCCAGGGTTTCTATGGAGATCACACCCAGTAACGCTAGCAGGGCATGTGGCTGGGCAGGAATTTGCTCCAAGGCTGGGGCTGGGATCTTACAGCAGTGACAACATGTTCTTGAGCTGGGGCGGAGCCACAATCTGTAGCTTGCACGCCCCTGCCCAGGGTGCTTAGGCAGCAGATCGCAGCTCTGCCCCAGCTCTGGACCATGCTGTCACTGCCACAAGATACCAGCCAAAGAGCAGCTCCCTGTGTACACCCTGCCAGCACTGCTGGGGCTAGTCTCCATGGAAATCC